GGCACAGGCTCAAGGGAGGCCGCCCACACGCAACACTGGCATATAGGCAGGGARGGCGAGTGGGCAGGGATCTTGGCCATTGCGGSCAATGCCGGCACGCTGCGCGTTTGCGAGGTGCTGCGCTGCGCTAGGCTAAGGTAGAGGCAGGCAAGCGCTAAGCGGTAGAGCGCTGCCTGGGCGCAGGGCGCTGGCAGCCATAGCCGGGCTGCCTGTGGGCGCAGAGGAGGAAGGGCGAAGGTGGTTCTTCGGAGGTGAAGGGCGCTGTGTGGGATAACAAGGGAGAGTGAGGGAGAAGAGAGAGACGTACCTGGTGGAGAGGAGATCGGCATTGGTGTTGACATCATCACTCGCTGGTTGTCAAGTTGTCTGGTTGCTTTCATGCTGTAGTTGTAGTGATAGGCTGTAGAGTAGGTAGGGCGCCTGGYGCCATTCAAGAGAGAGAGCTACATTGGGTTATGCTGTTGGTGTTGCCCKATTGGGCTTGGAYATTGACTCAYGATTCTTCTGTATCGTTCTCAAATGGATGGTTACTCRGTTCCATTGTGCTATCTGCTCTTGCTTTGACTACTTGGACTTCAGTGTGATTTTGCAATCTGGATTTCTGTTCTTCGTCCACATTCATGTTCCTTGCATTTTGGTATCGGAGCTGGTTTGATTCGCCACTTACCTTGGTGCGCTGGCATTATACAGACTTGGTGCGTTAACGATGCTTCTTCGCAGTTGGTTCTTGTGACGTCAGGCCATAATAGGTGCACGACATGGGTAGAGAGGTGTGCACCGGAACGCTATACGGCATTGGTTGCCGTGGTTACAGCGGAATGTATGATTGGTGATGAGAGCATGCTGATGTGGCATTAAGCTGAGGTGGCACTGCATTGCGTTGTGGGTGGTACCATGGTACGACCGGTCATCAGATGCACACTCAGCTCAATTGGTGAGAAATCTGTGGTTGGGGGCAGCTATCTCCAGGTACGTTGTTCCCTTACCTTATCTACTCTCGCAATCTCTTCTTACCGCGAGGAAGTGAGTCCAACTTGAGAGTCCTCTCTTTTGGTGAGGTGTGTGCGCGCTACCTTGAGAGACGACAATCTTTTCCGAAGCATCTGGAAGGAGAAAGGGCGGTGCCTCTGAAGGGCCCTGGTCGAAGCACTGGGTCACGGTCACCATGCCAACCCAATGGGAGTAGGTCACGCATGCGATGGCTGCTGTCCATTTTGGCACTTTGCTGCGCTGTAGAAGTCCTGCCGGGTGTGCCAGCCCATAAGAGACGCTGTCCAGACTGTCTATAAATATTTCTGGCGGGGAAACTCGGTGTTGATACTGGCTGTGATCGTCGTCCTGTCTGCGACATTAAATAATTCCTGCGGAGATGGGGGCTCTCCTTAAATTCCTCCTGATCAGCCAGATCACATCCGGTAGTAAGGCTCGTTCCGTACGAGGGTAAATAAGAGTGGATGGGCTGGCTTGCTCGGCAATGACTTGGGCACAGGGGTGGGCCGACATTGCACACGAAGACACCGCTGCTCAATTATGCTTACCGGTATGTTGGATTGAGGGGAGGGTAGGTTCTAATTGATGCTCAACTGGAAACACAACCATACCCACTGTTCATACATCTGCAACATAGTTTTGTTTTTATTATTGATTAGTTGGTTGACAGCTGCTAACACCTCACAGACAGATTAGAGTAGGACTGTTGTATACTACCATAGCCAGTTCTATCTAATGCTGCTGTAAGTGAACTAATCACAGTAGAGCTAAACTATGTTGGCAGTCTTTTGTGAATGTTGTAGGCTGCCACTTGATCGGTGAAGTAGGGGACCTGCCGGACACAATTATTTTTAGAAAATTAGGTGTCGGTCAGACACATGCTGCGGTTGGACTCCAGCAGGGGGTTGTAGTGCAGATAGTGTTTGCCTAACTAATGAGCGGGTCAGACATCGATGAGGGTAGAGTTGACGACGTGAGACTTACACGTTCGGAGGCACTTAGGGTCCCGCACGTGTTTCAGGCCTTACAACCGGAAGACGAAAGACGGCTTCGTGCCGAACGAAGAGCCCGTGCTCTTGCAGCAGCGTNGGCACTTAGGGTCCCGCACGTGTTTCAGGCCTTACAACCGGAAGACGAAAGACGGCTTCGTGCCGAACGAAGAGCCCGTGCTCTTGCAGCAGCGTTGGCAGCAGCAAACGAAGCAACTAGAGAGCAGGCAGCAGCAGCCAGAGAAGCAGCAATGGCTAATGGCGCAGGCTCTGCTGCGTCCTCGTCTGCATCCTCATCTGGGACCCAGTTGGGAATGCCCGTTGGGCCCACGGGTACTTCTGGGGCAGTAAGTTCTAGTCAGTCCACAAGTCAAATGGCGGGTTCGCAGTTAAGCCCGTTGACCCCACGAGGCAGGGAGCTCCTAGAGCTCCAACAGGTCGAAAGGATTCGCGAACGGTTCGAGAGGGAACTGAAGCAAGCAACCGGTAGAGAAAACGAGATCAAAATAAGAGCAGCTAGGCTTGATACGTTAGAGGCAGACAAGGCTGCATTGGAGGGTTTGGATGAGTCAGCAATGTCTGACCAATTGAAAGTGTTGAAGAACAACATGTTGTCGCTGCATGCACATGTGGACAGCAGGCTGGACTTCATGCAGAACTCTCTGGACCAAATCTTGGACCTTTTGCAAAGGCCCGGATTTAGGCCAGCAGCACAGTAGCCGTTGTCGTTAACGGCGATGTTAGGCCCCTTTCCGGTACAAGCTCGCACACAGCCAAGTGGTACGTTTGCAGCAGTCGCACAGACTATTGCTTCTTCTTCTTCTGGGTCAGCGGGGGTTGCTACACCATCACCGCAACAACCAGTTCCTCAACAGGGACAACAGCAAGGTCAATGGTACCCGAAGACCCCTATGAAACCACCCCTTGCCTTCTCCGGAGAGAAGAGGGACGAGGAACTCAACACATGGTTGAGAACGGTTCCAGTTTGGGTAAAGGCGAAGAGGACTTTGCAGGAGGAGGAGGTGATTACTGCTGCATCTTACCTTGAGGGTAAGGCAGCCAAATGGCTGGATGGTTTAGTTTCAAAGGCAGGGTACGGACGACGCATGGCAGACTGGGCTAAGACCATTACGTTAGACTAGTTCTTAGAAATGGTAGAAGCTCGTTGGCACAATCCACAGCAGGCACAAATTGCCACTGATGCGATAAACAGACTAGACCAAAGAAAGTTCAAGTCAGTCAGGGAGCTTACGACTACTGTAGAGAGCCTCATCGTTGTTCCCGGCATAAACTACGATGACCAGTTCTTGTTGACCACATTTGTGAGATGTCTCCCAGAGAATCTCAAGAATTTGCTGGCCAGCGAGGCTCGCCTTGAGTATCACTCATTTGAGACTTTATCTAGGAAAGCCTTGGACTTGGAGGCCACCCTAGGAAGTGTTCAACCTACCTCAGTAGACGCGAGGAAGAAGAAGAGTTCACAGGAATGGAAGAAGAAGGGGAGCAAATTGATGATGGTTGAGTCCGATGGGACTCAAACGGAGATCGACGAGCTCACAGACCTGTTGGACTATTCAGAGTACGACGGCGAGGAGATCGCTGAGGGTAGCACCCTCGCTGCAGTAGTAAAGACTAAGGCAGGTGGCCGAGGAAAGGGCCATCAAAAGAGTCAAGGGCAGGCCGCCTCCAATCAGACCAAAGTTGCTGATTGGGTTAAGG